GGACTGCCAAGAAAACAAACAGATTTATCCTAGAGAGGTTTAAACCAGGCTACTCCTTGGAGGCAAAGATTCTGGGGCTTTGTTTGACATACTTTGGACGTGTTGCAAGGAGAGACAGGTCTTTGGAGAGGGACATCATGCTGGACAGCGCAGGAGGGGAAGACCCTCTATGAGGTGGATTGATTCAGTGACTGGGGTAATCAGGATGGGTGTGTCAGAGGCAATGCGACTGGCACAGGATAGAGCAGGGTTTAGGGCTGTTGTACATAGGGTCGCTATGAGTCTCAAATGACTCGACGGCACATAACAACAACACCACCACCACAATCTTTCTTAAATATTTTGTAATAATTACTGACAAAATATTGTTGAATAAAACCTATATTCTCTTTCAATGTACTGTTCAGTCATACTTGGATTACTTTTAGCAATATTTTGCTTGCATGTGATATGGATACTATTGTTCAATAATTTCCACATTCTATCTCATTTATTGGCAATAGAAACAAATACGGATCTCTTCTAGTCAATTCACTAAGCGGCTGTCTTTCAAATTTTCTGGCATTCCTAAGGCCTTATTTTTTTGCCATTATCTTCAACATAATTTGAACTTCTTTCCTCACCATTGGCTCTTCATCACAGGGCACTTCCTGAAATATTTCCAGTGTTGATCAATTCTTTTTGGTATACTGACTCTGTGTATTCTTACTATCTTCTTCTGGGTCATTCGAGATTTTGCCCACAGAAGCAAGTTTCGGTATTTCAACACAAGGCTTAAATTTGTTTTTCAGTTCTTTTAGCTTGAGAAATGGTGCTGAGTGAGTTCTTCTCTTTTTATTCTCCAACTCCAGCTCTTTGCACATTCCATTATAATAATACTTTTCTTCTTCTTCTCGAGCTGTCTTTTGAACTCTTCTGCCCATCTCCCTTACTTTGGCATCCCTTCTCTCTGTTTTGGCTTCATGACAGTTTAGTGCCATCTTTAGAGTCTGACATCCTTTTTGGCCTTTTCTCTTGCCGTGGTTTTTGTAGTGACCTTCAGCTCTCTTCAGGGATGCTATCTTTAATTCACTGGTCTTGATCATTACTGTTCAATGCCTCGAACCTGTTATTGAGATGATTTTTAAATTCACGTGGGATAGCCTCAAGGTCGTATTTTGGTTCTGAAGGACTTTGTTTTCATTTTCTTCAATTTGAATTTGCACAGGAGTAATTGATAGTCTTTTCCATAGTCAGCACCTGGCATGGTTTTGACTGCTGATAGATATCAAGCCTTTCCAATGACTCTGTCTACAGATGTAGTCAATATGATAATGGAATACTATACAATATTAAAGAATAATGACGAATTTGCAAAATACCTCATAGCATGAATGAACCTGGAGATAATTATGCTGAATGAAATAAATCAATCAGTCAGGAAAGGACAAATACTGTATGAGACCACTATTAAAATCACCAGAGAGTAGACAGGGTAACTTGGGTGATGGGCAAGATGATATACAAGAGGGGTAGCTCAGCATGGCAAAACCACAGCAATGAAGACACTGAGAGGTGCATAAGAGTAAGAGAAAGCGAAGGTAAACATGGTCCATCTTGATCCTGCTATAATAAATAATCACCTCCAAGAAGATACATGGGCAGAGGTTGAAGTTCAACCAAGGTGGAAATCATAAAAAAGTTAGTATGATTTTAAAAATAATAAAAAAGACCAGACTTAATTGGTGGGACACTTGAGAATGGCCCTTAGATACCTTTCGAGGCTAGAATAAAATCCACCCACCCAGGACTCAACTTCCAGTCAAATAACAGACAACTTCAAAAGTGAACAAGAAAAGCAGAGTGAAAATACTTCTAAAAAATCTGCTGGACGAGACCAAATGTGGCAGCATTTGACCAAAGGACAAAGTTCAGAAAGCAAGAAGGGGCAGGGAAAAAGAATAAATGGAAATAGAAAACACAGGGAGGGGGTGGGAAGAATACACTGACATTAAGGAGATTCCGACCAATGTCACACACAAAAATGCGTGTAAACTGCTGAATGGAAAACTAACTTGGCTCTATATATTTTCATCCAAACTACAATTTAAAGTTTAAAAATACATACAAATAAAACAGTAATTATCGTATTATTAGAAAAAGGAGGGGTATCAGAACTAATATCTGAGAAAGTAAAATGAAATTATATATTCTTTATTTTTGTAGACCTTCAAGAAATTAAAAGTGAGTATTTCTTTGGCAATTTTCTCCATAAAGATGTGTGTGTGTGAGGGACTGCCCATCTCCTGTGGAGCAGGGGTGTGTGTGTGTGTGTTTGCATATTCTTCTTAAGGGGCTTCAGCATCAAGGGAAAATGAGACTGAATTCAATAGAATGTAGAGATTTTTATTCTACTAAAATCTTTTGACTTGTGAAATCAGGAACTTAAAATATTTCCCAATAAGAAAAAAAACAAAACCTTATTCTGCTTTTCAAATACATCTAGACCATCGTGCACATGTTCTGCTTTTCTCTTATTCAGTAAAAAGCAAAGAAAAAATCAGCTAAAAAAAGAACATTCTTGCAATCTCCAAACGTACGCAGTTGCTCCCTCATTCACTGAGTTGGCATTAACTCAGGGCTGACCCTTCAGTGGGTAACTGAGGCTGTAAATCACACAGGACGAAACTGCTTATCTTCCTCCCAAGGAGCTGCTGATGAATTTGAATCTCAGAGAGGTGTGGCTCTGGGCTGAGCAGGGCAAATCCCTCTGAACTACACTATCAGAGCTTCCTCTCAACAAAATTAGAAATTTAATAAAAACAAGCAAGTTTTAAAAAAAAATCTCCTTTGGGCTGGTCAAACTACACTATTCCTCAGAATCGAGTCTAGTGAATGTATTAGATTTTTAAAATTACATGTGATACATTCTTTTTTTTACTATTTAGTTACATTTACCATTTACTCTTTCCCTTTGTACCAGTTTTGGTGAACTACCTATTCTTTAAAAAGAAAAAAAGTCTTAGAGAGAGCTCTGGTGGTCTAGTGACAAGAAGCTGCACTGCAATCCCAAAGGTGTGCAGTTCAAATCCACTAGATCCTCTGCTTAAGAAAGAGGGGCAATATCCTCCTGTGCCAGTCGGATCTGACTGGAAGGTACACAACAAGGCGGGGGAAAAATGTCTAAGAACACAAGATAAATGAGTATACAGAACTCTCAATTACAGACTGTGAACAACAAATTACAATTTCACTCATTCAATAGAATCAAATCAGGGTTATAAAATATCTCATTCTGGAGGCTTAAAATTCACAGTATAGAAAATATATCAGTAAGCTACCTTTAAGATGCTTTGTTTCCCTTTTGGCAACAAATAAAACTGGTTCACCAAAGCTGTGTTATTTTTAAAAATTCCCACATCACACCACTGCCGTTCTCCTGCTTTCACTGCTGTGGCCACCGGATTTGAAGAAGTCTCTTTCTAATTTCAGAGAGAAGAAAAGTTTATGAAGATTCTTATTGAGCATTTATGAAATTTCAAGAGCTAATAAATCCATGCAGTGATCTCTAAGTGGGTATATGGGTAAACACCACAACATTAATAATAGTTCCTAATAAATAAAATCTTAACAGAATAGGTCAATGGACAGGGTAGCAGGGAGGCTAATTCAAACATGGGGTGACAGGCATTCTCCACGTCAGCAGCTCTGCTCTACCAACCTAGCTGTAGTTAGCATGCTCTCAATTCAGTGGTATGTTAAAATGCCAGCTGGTCTATAGAACACTGGCATTTCAGACTTGGAAAATGTAGTCCAACATGGTATGTCATTACAACTTGCTCCAAATGAGCAAATAAAGAAAAATACACTCCAAGTTGGCTCATTTCTAGATTCAAAAACAGCTAGCAGAAATTCAGTGGTTTTGTACTTGAAATACCTTGGATTCTCTAAACCTAAAAGGAGAAAAAATGTTCAAAACTAAAATGCAACTTGAGTATACTTTTTAGTATATATGTTCACTAGAGAGAAACAACATATTAAGCAGCTTTACAAAATTTTTTACTCTGCTTTAAAACAAACTTCCTCTACCTTAAGCTAATTTTAGTGGTAAGTGAATTATACTTATCCCTGGAACTAACCTTTTTAAGCCATCTTCTTTATAAATGAGACACTGTTTCCAGAAGCTCAAAACAAATGTGCACTTCAGTTATTTATTTCTGTCTTAAATATATAACAGTAGAGGTACATGCTTATAATTCACATTATTGTTTGAGGCTATCACACATGACAAAGTGAGCTCACTAGAAGTCTTTAAAGATTTTTTTTTAAGTGCTTTAAAAATGTGTTTTCATTTTATAAGGATGCAAAAATGCACTTCAATAACTTTCATTAAACAATTGGCTCCAACAATAAATCAAATTCTGGCTGATGCATTACAAAACAGACGGTAAGAGGGGAAAGAAAATTTCATTTTAATAATCCCTCTCTGAGGAGAGTCTGGCACTAAGGTTTTAAGCTCAAATAAAGATGAGAGCTGATAAAGATAATTCTAGAATCAAATTCTATAAAAAAAGAGAAAAACCCTAAAATTATAGATAATTCTTAATGATTCCAAAGGTAAATATTAGATCCAATAAAAATTCATACATGTATCAGTAAAGATGCAATGGCTAAAACTTTTTTAAGACAATCTTAAAAGCTGTTATACATTATCCTCATAGCTATCTCATTAGCCAGTGTTGGTCTATTTGTGAAGCACATCCCAAGTATTTTCTGTTGATGTCATGCAGACCAAATGTAACCTTCCATAAAACTACTCTTGGTGCCAAAGACAGAGACTATCCAGCTACCTTACATGTTTCCCTAACCCAATATTATAATATTCTCTTGTGCTCCTTTAAGTAGGCAACAATAAAGCTATACAAGTTTTATGTTTCATAACATATGATATTGTTTACTCTTTAAACCATGAATGTTATATATGGAATAAATTCTATGCACATACACATACATACATGGACACACACATTCAAACACAATGAACATTGTTCAGATGAAGAGAAGAATACAGAAAACTTACATAAGACAGTGAAAGTTACTGTGGTCTCCCCATCTCAAAAGAGTTGTCTAACATTTTGGTGTGGGTATATGTGGGTTCATGTGAGAGTGTGAGTGCATGTATTGTGCATATATTCTTCAACAAAACTGGGAGCACAGCATATACATAGTATTTTTACCTAGCTTTTCTCACATTCATATTGTAACATGAAAATTTAAACCATTTAATCTTGAACTTGCAGCAGTGCTTTACTAAAATGAGACTTAAGACCTTTTTACCAATTTATTTAGAAGGTGCTTAGTATTTAAGAACATATCCTCACATTTAAGCATGCATCATCACCCGGTCATGTACTTACAGAAAACTGAACTGTTGCTGCAGCAGGACTCTCTACACGGCTTATCTTACTTGCAGGCAGTGCACATGTTTCATCAACTAAAAATAAAAAGAAGTCAACAGGTAAGACTTATTTTAGAAATACACAAAAGTAACTGTTGTTATTGTTATGTGCTGTCGAGTCACCTGCGACTCATAGCGACCCAATGTACAACAACCCTAAACCCTGTTCTATCCTGTGCCTGTCTCTGACACATCTATCCCCATTATTCAGTCACTGAATCAATCCATCTCATTGAGGGTCTTCCTCTCCTGCGCTGTCCCTACACACTCCCAAGCATGATGTCCCTCTTCAAAGAGTGGTCCCTCCTTGCAACATGCCCAAAGTAGGTCAGATGAAGCTTCCGAATCCTTGCCTGGTTTTACCCTCTCTAGGGCGAACCTGTTTGTTCTCTTAGCAGTCCATGGTATAGTCAATAATTTTCTCTAGCACCACAGCTCAAAGGCATCAATTCTCTTTCTATTATGCCTAGTCATTGTCCAGCTCTCTGATGCATAGCAAGTAACTGCAAAGACTATGGTCTGGATCAGGCACACCTTCGTCTTCAGAATGACTTAGCTACAAATAAACTTCTAACTCAAACTTAGTTTACCAAGTTCCTTTTTCAAGAGTTTAATGATTATACTAGAAGTTCTAATGCCAAAGATGAAACATAATGTCTATTATAAAAGGAGAAATGAAACTTACAAAACTATAATCATCCTCAGAAAATTGTTAATCTATAATCTAGAACTTTTTATCTTTTCTAAGCCAACAAATAATTGCTCAAGTTATTCATATGCTAGCCTAAATATTTTATGTAAAGCATTAGAGGATATATAATGATTATAACAGCTTTATCTGCTTATATATAATTCGATCCAAGATAAAAAGCAATTTCCAGCTAAGACAAATAAACTGATGAATTTTTCTACATAAATGTCTCAAAGTACAGTATGTGAAACACATTTCAAACCTTCAGATTTGGTACTGAATGTTGTTAGTGAAGTTTCATCTTTAACAACTGCCCCATTTGTACTGGATGATTCAGTTTTAATGGTCTGCTGGGTTACCATAGTTTGTGCGCTGGAAGCAGCACTGGAAACAGATGTTTCAGAGATTACTGGTCGTATATCCAGGCAGTTACTTAGAACACCTACATGAGCTGAAGTGTGGGCACCTGCAAGAAAAGGAAAAGGGAAAGATCAATTATTAACATAATACCTACAGAAGTAAGTTATGGCTTATAGTTCTTATATAATTCTTAGTATTTCAGTTTTAAGATCATAAACATGAGTATCTTAATAGGCATTCATAAAAATGAACCATTTAATATTATAAAACAAAACATATAATAGTTGAATGAAAAATCAATCTGCTTTGTAAACTTCCACTAAAATCACAATTTAAAAAGAAATTACATATAAAATGTCTAAACATAACATATATCAATAATGGATATCCAAGCACCCTCTCTTCCATTCTAAACACTGAACCATTGTTCTCAAGCTCTATATTAAATCACAGATTTAAAAACTGTCAGCAAATGTTCTTACCTTTTAGACAAAGAAGAAAATGAGATTGTAAAGTATTAATTCCCCCAAATTTCTGTCTACTGCTCTACACTAGAAACGTACTTATGTTGGTAGCTAGCCTCCCTGTCTCAGAGATGAGCTGAGCTCTCACCCCATATGCTGTGGTCCATCCACTTGCCATTCGTCCCTCTCCAAGGTTTTCAGACTTCTCCTTCATTAACAGTTTCTCACTCCTAGTCTACAAATACATAATCAAGTCTCCTAAGCAAACAAATTGAGCTCTTTTGTAACTCCTTAAGTCTCCTCTAGTTACCACTTCTCATTAGCTCCCTCCATAATAATTCTGACTTCCTTGAACTCCCCAAAATTAGGTTTCCAGCACATTGTTCTAATGAAATAACTAGCACAAGACAGTGACTTCCAGGGAATACTTGAAAATTTTCACTTCCTTGCCCTTTCTACCATGGAAACAATACTGACCACCTATTTCTTTGTGAAGCTGTTCCCTTTTATGATTTCACATTCATTCCACTCTATTCACTACCTCATCATGGAGCTCCAGTGCCATGGTGATTAAGTCATGACTATTAATCAAAAGGTTAATGGTCTGAATTGATGTACTATTTTAAGGGAGTAGGATGTTCCTGTAAAAGTTCAGCCTAGGAAACCCTATGAGACATTCTACTCAGTCAACACGATTGCTATGAGGTAGAACAGATTAACAGACAATGGGTGCCTTCAAATATTAAGTCCTACCTTGAACTTACCTTTCCACAAATTTGCCTATACTCCTGTATTTCTTATCTTGAATTAGAGTGTAACCACCATTTCAAATGCCCAACCCAAAACGCTGCGGGCATGTTCAACTCATTTTCATTTCTTGCATCTAACCAGACACTAAGTCTAACAAATGCTATTTTCTAAATTTCTTTTTAATTTACTAAATTTTGAAAATAATGTATTCTCCTCATCCCACCCACTGCTTTAGTCAGTCTCTTTCCATGGCTCCTGGAGTTTTAACAAAACCCTCCAGCAAGTCTCTCAATAATTTCCTATCCAAATTCATCCTGATGGTGAGTGGTTTCTTAAAAAAAACACACAAAAGAAAAAAAAATCCCAAATCATGTCACTCTTGCTTTGTAACACATTCCCTTTCAAAACTAGGTAACAGGCAGAGAAAATGCCTAATTTTCAGTCTGAGACTAGGTAGGTATTCATTCACCCACTTGAATGCATATAATGTACAAAGTACTATTGTATTCACTCCTATTTGCTTGCTTGATTAGTATTAATCTCACGCAAACTATGCAATTATGTACTGATGAGTTGGAACTGACTCATAGCTGACCTCCCAGTGGGTTTTCAGAGGCTACACACAGAAGGAGACTGCCCATCCTTCTCTGGCGGAACAGCTGGTGGATTCAAACCACATGCCTTTGGGATTGCAGTGCAGCGTTTTACCACTAAGCTACTATATTCTGAAATAGCAAGCTCTTTTTGCATTTGTTTTAGGAGTATCAACTTCTATTTTAAGAAAAACCATACAAGAAATCACTACAGGAAAGAAATCTGAGATTCAGGACCAAGCTTTTATAATACAGCCAAATGATTACCTTTCACCAGAAAACCAATAAAAGAGCTCTTCTCATTCATAAACAATAGAATGAAAAAAGCAGTGAGAAATTATTTTCCTCAGGTATTTTTATCTACCATGAACTCATACAGGGGAACATAAATCAAAAGAATACTCTTATTACTAAGTTTAAATTATTGAAGAGGAATTAAACTTATATCAGCTATCCTGATTCCTTTAGATTAAAAACGAAATCACACTTCTCTGCATAAGGTATCAGAAAAATATTAATCGTGTTTGAAATGGAAATCAGAGATAATGCATTATATTTCTGATGTTATATCAGAATATTTGAATAAACTAATTTAAAATATAAGCATTACTAGCTCTGGTGGTTTACTGGCAAGGAGTTACACTACCAACATAAAAGAACTCAATTAGAATCTCCACAGGAGAAAGATAGGTAATCTCTGATGCTGCATCTAAAAGCACATTGGAAGGTCAGCTGTGGGTCAGTTTCAACTCAGTGTTACATAACAACAACAATATTAGAGCTTGTCTCAGGAATGCAGAAGGGCCAACCAACAGTTCTTATAAATGAACTTGTTTCTATTTTCTGAAGCTAATCTAGTTATATGCTAAACAAATATTTACAAAGTGACAAGTAGTTACTAGGCACAGTTTTGAATACTGAGAATAGTCCTGAACAAAACAGACAATATTCCTGCCCCAAGGAAATAATTTTAGGCAGTTAAATGCGTTATGAAATAGCACAGAGTAATACAGCAGTGAACTGGCCGTTTACAAATGTTATCTATAAGAATTCTGCCTCATTTAATATTACACAACTCATAATTAATTCATAATGATTAAAATTAAGTGCTTACTTGGTATTCTGACATAATTCTAACTAAATTAAGTAGAATAGGTATCTTACTTATTAGGAAAATGCATCAAGATAGAACATTTTTAGAACATTTTCTTATTCATTGATTCTAAAATTCCCTGCCAGTATTATAAAAATGCTTTACTTAAAATGATATCCTTATACCTTCATTTTTCCTTAACATATCTACCACACAACTACTATGATTAGCAGCATTAGTTGCCGAAGATAAAAGTAAAATGGCATTAGGATCAGCTGACGCTTTGAGATCTGGGTTGCTTTTCATTGGTGTTCCTTTCATAGCTGTATGTTCAGTTTTTGTACTGTTTACTGTATCTTGGATCTATAAGAAAGAAAATAGGTTATTGTAGCAAATTATATTCAATACACAATAAAATAAGCAACACTATTTTTAATACTTTGATGCTTTTGAAAATAAAAGTTTATGAAAATATATTTTA